ACGTTTGTTTACGTTGTTGTCAGGTGAACGTTTGTTTACGTTGTTGTAGGGTGAACGTTTGTTTACGTTGTTGTCAGATGGACGTTTGTTTACGTTGTTGTCAGGTGAACGTTTGTTTACGTTGTTGTCAGATGGACGTTTGTTTACGTTGTTGTTCTGCAAACGTTTGTTTACGTTGTTGTCAGATGGACGTTTGTTTACGTTGTTGTCAGGTGAACGTTTGTTTACGTTGCTGTCAGATGGACGTTTGTTTACGTTGTTGTCAGGTGAACGTTTGTTTACGTTGCTGTCAGATGGACGTTTGTTTACGTTGTTGTCAGGTGAACGTTTGTTTACGTTGTTGTCAGATGGACGTTTGTTTACGTTGTTGTCAGGTGAACGTTTGTTTACGTTGCTGTCAGATGGACGTTTGTTTACGTTGTTGTCAGGTGAACGTTTGTTTACGTTGTTGTCAGATGGACGTTTGTTTACGTTGTTGTCAGGTGAACGTTTGTTTACGTTGTTGTAGAGTAAACGTTTGTTTACGTTGTTGTCAGATGGACGTTTGTTTACGTTGTTGTCAGGTGAACGTTTGTTTACGTTGCTGTCAGATGGACGTTTGTTTACGTTGCTGTCAGGTGGACGTTTGTTTACGTTGTTGTCAGATGGACGTTTGTTTACGTTGTTGTCAGGTGGACGTTTGTTTACGTTATTGTCGTGTGATCGTTTGTTTACGTTGTTGTCAGGTGGACTTTTGTTCGCGCTACTGTCCTGTGAACGTTTGTTTTCGTTGTTGTCCTGTGAACGTTTGTTTTCGTTGTTGTCCTGTGAACGTTTGTTTACTTAGTTTTCCTGAATAAATTTGTTTACGTTGTTGTTCTGTAGACATTTGTTAACGTTGTTGCCCTGTTAACGCTTGTTTACGTTGTTGTCCTGCATACGTTTGTTTACGTTGTTGTCCTGTGAACGTCAAACGTATGTAGCATGAAACTGTGTGCATCAAACCCGACAACAACCCAATGATCTCAAAGTTATTTTCCCGCCCCTTATATATTAGCTTTTCTCCATTACATATATTAGACAATTAGTTTACTCCGTAATAACGTTCATACGGCAATTTTCCCGCAACAAAAAGTGATATCTTCTCGCCCTTATGTATATATAAGTATAAGTCCAGTCTCTAATAACGCTCATATAGCTTCATATAGCAATTTTCCCGCCACAAATAGTGGTGTTTTCTCGCCCTTATGTATATATAAGTATAAGTCCAGTCTCTAATAACGCTCATATAGCTTCATATAGCAATTTTCCCGCCACAAATAGTGGTGTTTTCTCGTCCTTATGTATCTATAAGTATAAGTCCAGTCTCTAATGACGTTCATATAGCTTCATATAGCAATTTTCCCGCCACAAATAGTGGTGTTTTATCGTCTTTATGTATCTATAAGTATAAGTCCAGTCTCTAATGACGCTCATATAGTAAGACGAGTTGGCACTAGTCGCTTCGTATGACAACCACATTTGAAAATAATGGACACTAAATAACCTAGGCTATGAGGACTTGACCTAACTGGAGTCTGTGGGGCGATGCCAATGCTGATAAACGATTCTATTACTGATAACAAAGCTGCCCTCCATAGACACCAAAAAATAGGGCACTTCCTTCGCTTGTTTTCTTCTACTTCTTCTTCCCTCATATTTGTGAAACAAACGTACTGTGTTATAATCTTTAAAGCAGTTAATGGTCTCATCATATTGCGCGTTTTGCTCTCCGCCTGTGACAAAGATATCGTACAATGTTGTAACTGAAATAATGTATTGATGAATGTTTTCGCGGGAAATGTGTAATTTTCTTGTACGGTATAATCGATAAGAACACGTTTGAAATATATATTATATTATATTATTTTATATTATATTATAAAGGCTATGAGGACTTGACCTAACTGGAGTCTGTGGGGCGATGCCAATGCTGATAAACGATTCTATTACTGATAACAAAGCTGTCCTCCATAGACACCAAAAATAGGGCACTTTCTTCGCTTGTTTTCTTTTATTTCTTCTTCCCTCGTATTTGTGAAACAAACGTACTGTGTTATGATCTTTAAAACAGTTAATGATCTCATCATATTCCGCGTTTTGCTCTCCACCTGTGACAAAGATAGCGTACTATGTTTTAAAGGAAATAATATATTGAAGAATGTTTTCGCGGGAAATGTATAGCTTTCTTGGTCGTTATAATCGCTAAGAACCCGTTTGAAATATATGTTTTTTATATTATATAGCCCAACATTGCCACGGCCTTACAGCGCCGCGGTAAAGCAAGCGAATTATTGCTTCAATATATCTGCCTGCTGCCCATTATTTTTCTAAAGCTCCCCCCTCATTGGAAGCTTCGGCAGGCTTATTGATGTTCTTGCTTGGCTGAGGTCCTCGCTATTTCAAAAATAATTCTCAAAATGGCGCAAGAAGTGCAAGGTAATAGCACATCTGGGTTAGGAAATGAGGGATACCGACCCTCGCTATATAGACGACATTGCAAGTCCATATATAGACCTTTATATGTAAAAAATCTTGCATGCTACTAAATCGGTATTAAGAGATATAGAATATAGACGCGTATATACAACATATAGATGATTCTACCCGTCCACATATAGACTTTTATGTATGGATACTGGCAATATACATATAGACTTTACAGGATTTAGACGTATATTGATACGATATAGAAGACTATCCCTGCCCGTACAAGGATGTTTTTATAACGATATAGACCATTTTTGGAGTATACAGGTTATAGACGTCTATGTATAGGGTATACAGTAGACGCAACTCCATATCCACAATTAAACGTTTATATATCGATATAGACTATACATAGTTTCCATAAGATAAATAGTCTATACATAGGATATAGGAGCCCTTCTCTCTCTAATATATCCTATATATAGGATATAGGAGCCTTCCATCAATATATCCTATATATAGGATATAGGAGCCTTCCTCCAATATATCCTATATATAGGATATAGGAGCCTTCGTCACTGAGCTGCTTGAAGGTGGCAGTTAGTTCTTGGTCTAGACATATTACCGGCCTCTGGCTCCTAGACTAGAGGATTCAGGCGAGAGATAAGGGAGTCTAGAAGGTAAGCTTTCGATGTAGACGATGTAGAATAATGAATCTGTTTGGAAGTGAACGAGGCGAATCGATGTTCAACTTGATCGGGAATGATTTCAACGGAAAGGATCAGGGTTTATTTCATTAGACTGCGCCATACTGAAGATGGCTGATTTTCATGATAGAAAGACGAATGTGTTGAATGAGAGAATTGTCCTGTTGGCAAATAACGTTTCAATCTATGTAGGTTTTAATTCTTACATCAAAACATTTAACGGATTATGAGCAGTTTTTAAACAAAATTAATAATAGATAGTAGAGAATTAGATAAATCATCAGATAAATGTTAGAAATCGTTTATGGCAACCCCAATAAGTTTGACTTAACGGCTCCGTCGCTCGGCTGCGATAGGAAGAAGCCTTAATTCGAACACCGTTCATTTCTTGCCATCTAAACATGTTTCGGTAATTGACGTTCAGGCCTAAATTACATGTGAATTAGAAACAACTAAGATATTTTTATTAACATTTTATTTCAAGTGTAATTTAGTCGAAAACCATTAAAATTATTTCTGATAATCATCAATGATCAATTTTTTATGTTAAAATCAAGACATTCTGCTCACCAATTTTTGTTCTCGCAATTAAAGATAAAATCCCTGTAACTTTTATTTTTCACAGCACTACCCTGTCGTTGTTTGTAACACAGTGGGAAGTAACTTCAGTACACTTACGTGTTTGTGTCATAAAATATCTCATTTTAAATAAAATATTCGATCTCCAACCAGGTGCAGGTGTCAGAAATCCAGCAGGTGTGTTCCATTTCTACGCTGAACAGCTGTGATGTCCATCATCTTAACGCCACACTGAAGCGCAGATCACTGATGCAGGTTTTCGGTGGTGTTGTTTTTCGTTTACTTAGGTATTCGGTGATGTAGGTTTTCGGTGATGTAAATTTTCGGTGTTGTAGACTTGCGGTGATGTAAATATTCGCTGATGTAGGTTTTCGGTGATGTAGATTTTCGGAGAAGAGTTTTTACAGAACACTTTATATTTTACTGTGTATTCAAGTTTATCATTTGTTGAAAATATCATCTTTCCCACCGAGTGCGTTAAGTGTTCCGTCAAAAGCCATTAATAAACGTCAGAAAACTGATCCAGTAACTTTGATCCGATTATTTGCGATCGGATATCAACACAGTTTAGTTTACACTTGCTGATTCAATATAATGAATAAATAATTTAATATAATACAATCTAATTGAAACTCGGCAAAGGTAATATCGAATAATCGATTAAATTATCTCTTTCCAATGAATTATCTGTTGAAAGTTTCTATCTTGAACACTAAAGTTTAATGGGGCGAGATTAAACTCCATCAATGTCAGCTTTTATTTGGTTTCCGCCAAATGGCTGAAAGTTGAAGCTTCTGAAAAATTTATATTGTCATATTTTTTTTTTTGCTTTAAAATTTGTTTGGCCAGACTTGATTTTTCGGTTCATTAATTTTATCAAGTAATTTTTCTTTTCAAATTTGAATTTCCAGCCGAGGTTCGATGATCATTTTTCGCAATGGCAGCTCAGGGACAGATATATTTTATGTCAGTGATTTTGTTCATTTCTTATTGCCAGAAATTTCCGGTGAAGAACTTTCTCGGATCTTTTTATTTAATAAAAAATTTGTGGGCGCTAGAGAACCCAAACTACGTGAGAAAAAATTAAGCTCGATGAAAGTGCCTATTTATTTTAAAGCGTGAATTTGTAGGTCGTCATGTCGGTTTTTTATATCCAGTGATGCTTGAAATTGAAGTGAACTATTAACATGGAAGTGCACGACGCCAATGATGTTGTCAACTTGTTACCCAACTTGAGTGACGTCGCAAGGTGTAACTTCAGCGTCACCGAGGACGAAGTTCCCGATGTTAACCAGGTGAGAAGTTTGAGTTATATCATATATTAAATTTTAAGTTTCTTCAGTTTATATACCAATATTTTTTGCTTGATTCATTTCATATATTAAATTTCTAGTTTTCTTCCTTTCAGATGTTAATATTTTCAGCTTGCATAATTTTAAATTTTGATATGTTTATATTTCATCATTTCAAATATTGATATTTTCAGCTTGCATCCTTTCAAACATTGATATTTTCAGCTTTTTTCACTTCAAATACTATTTTTGAACAGTCGTGCAGTATTTTGTTCATTTTTTCTCATGCATAACGAGATTCATTCATTCAGCCTATATTTTGAGTATTATAGAATGATATATAATGCAAATAATATAAACTTGGTGTTTAATTTAACCGAGAAACGATTTCACTGGTTAGGATCGCCTCACTGCGTTGAATAGAGGATTGTGCCACAAGCAAATAAAGTTTCAAATAAATTATTTATATAATATATTTTTGAAAACAGTTAGCGAATTCTGGACATTCCTTCGGCAATAACTGAGTCCAATGGCCAATATTAAGATCGTCTAAAACGATGTCTGAGATAACAAATATTTCCAAAATATTTAGTGTATTTAGTGTAAAATGTATATTAAATATTATTTAATATACATTCCTTGCGTATCCCGATAGTTTGAAAGCCATAAAATAAATAAGATTGGCACTAACCCTGTTAAAAGGCTTCTGCCAGTTCGAAAAAATTATCTTGAACAAGTGCATGTCAGAAATTTTGTTGAAATGTTCAATAATCTGAGAATCGTAAACTCAAAAACAGAAAGTTTTCATATCCCTAGAATCAAATTAATTTACGGAAATAAAATAATTTTTTTAGAAGTATACTCGTAATAAGCTTATCATCAGAAATGAGACAAATGCAGATTACACATGACTTGAAAATAAAATACGTTAAGTAATGGGATAATCGTGATTGTTGTTGTTGTTATTAATAATCATAGAATCGTAGTTTGTGATTATGCATGAGGTTCGTTTATGAGACAAGCATGCAAACCTGAATAATTTTATTTTGCTATAATTTAAGAATCCGTACAATCTTTCAAGTTAGGCTTCCCCGAACTAAACGACTCGGCATCATAACTTTGCGTTGTTTGTAAACTTTACTATAAGTTGAAAAGAAACCCAAATTCAGTATGTTCAAAGTATTTTCAGTATTGCAAATTTTGCTCAAACTTAAAATTCCATTTCATTTTTTGCCCCTGATTTTTCAGAAGTTTCCGCCTATGAAGGATTGAAGTTACACAAACATTTTTTTACCGCTTGACGAGTAACTAGGAACTGTCTTCTGGTGATTATTCTTGTACTTAGAGTTTTGAAAAGTTGATGGAACTTGTCTCCGGAACGTAGGAAATTAAATTATTGTAAATTCACTTGGCGTTTTCGCTGTTTTTAAATTATTAGGTAAACCCTGTTGATATCGTGCGACTATGAGATGTGATGGAATACATATGCATGATGGAATTAAATTTTGATGCCATGCCACATAATGTTTTGCTTACACTGCTAATCCACAATTACTGCGAATCCAATCAGCAGTTATTTTCATTTTATCAAGTAATTTTTCTTTTCAAATTTGAATTTCCAGCCGAGGTTCGATGATCATTTTTCGCAAT